GAAGAGCGGGGTCAAGAGGGAGAGAGAGAAGGAGGTGATGGCAGGGTGAGGAAGGCTGACTGTACAAAGGAGAGCCTGTATGCTGAACAAGAGTGGGGTTTCTCCCAGGTTTTGAAGCTTTTAATTTAATAGAGGAGGTGTACAGGGGGGTTGAGGGCTTAGCTAGCTTAGGCAAGACCAAGGCATAGCATGTGGCCAGCCTGAGCGCCTGTGGTCTCCTCACTGTGGCACCACTTGAGTGCTGGGTAATGAGTCCAAGGCAGGTTTAGTCAAGCTAGTCAGGGCAACAACAGCATTGCAGCTGCACCGCTACAGCTTCAGCACAGGCCCTGTAAGTCCAGCTAGGTCTGAAGCAATATATTCAGCTGTTTAACCTGTGCTGCCGGCCACCCTGCCACTCTTCCCTAGCACCTTGGTTCAGAGTGATGAGCAGCAGTGGAGATGAGAACAGTCAGATCCCAGGGTAGGGAACCACATCCCACTGCCACCTGCTTGGGACCTCACCTGTTGCACAGGCAACGATCTTTCTGACGCTTGGTCAGCATTTAACCCCCTAGCTGGGGGCTTTCATTCCATCTTTCCAGCTCTTGGTGTCCCAGGTTACTGGTCTGAGCCCTGTGCTGCCAGCCCACAACCCCAGGACTGCACACCCAGCCACCAAAGGCAGGCAGAACACCCTCTGCCCCTGAAAGCCCTTGCCTTGCCTCTTCTGTTTGCTCGTTCTGCCACCTCCTGGTTAAGTCTGATTCTGACATGGTAAGATGTGAGAGTCTTGCCCAAATAATAGGCCAGGTCAGAGTAATACAGTAGGATGGAAGAGTTTACTGCAGAACCCCTTAGTCCAGCTGCAGCTCAAAGCAGGGGTAGCTTCAAAGTTAGATGAGTTTGCTCAGGGCCTTCTCCAGTCAAATCCGGGAAACCTCCAAGGACAGAGACCCCACAACCTATCTAGACAACCTGTTTTTGCTTGATCACCCTCACGGTGACCTTTTTTCCTTAAATACAGTTAGAATTTCCCTTGCCAAAACTTGTAATCTTGGACACCAATCCTTTTGCTGTGATCTCTGAGAAAGGCCTGGCTCTGTCTTCTCTATAACACCAAGGGCAATATTTTTATGTGGAGCTACTGGAACTTTTAATGGGCTAGATATGAGCCCTTCTATCCCCATTAGCTTATTTTATTTCCCCTCACCTAGCTTCTGTGCTCCCTCACTTGGACTTTCATTTTCATCCCATTTTTTCCACACACCCCCTTCTTCCTACTCCCTTCTAACACAGCAGTCTGGGCTAAGTAAGATCACCTAGAGCTGAACATGAGGTAAGGTTATAGGGAGATTAGTGTATTAGCAAGTGTCTTCCAGAAATAGCTAGAAAAAAACCCCAACAACCCTGGTTTCAGGCACACAAGCTCTCTTTCAGATCTGATGCTAATGCCAAGTGTTTTCTTTTCTAACAGACTTCGCATTTCATTTCAAGTCATGTATCTTCTAGTCCAAGTCATGTATCTTCTTTGTCCAAGAGAGCTGGCTGCTATTTAAGCAGCTCTTCCTCCGTGCTCAGGATCGGTGCATCCCTGTGAGTAGCAAATCAAGTAAACGAGGCAAGAGGCCTGCATGGATGAACAAGGAACTCCTAGTAAAACTCAAAGAAAAGAGTAAGCTCCATGGAATGTGGAAAGAGGGTCAAGCCACTTGGGAGGCATACAGGAATGCTGCCAGAGCATGTAGGGAAGCAACTAGAAAGGCCAAGGTTCACCTGGAACTAAGTTTGGCAAAGGGTATCAAGGATAACAAGAAGGGCTTCTTCAAGTATGTCAGCAGTAAACGTAAGACTAGGGGTAATGTGGGACCGCTGCTGAACGAAATGGGTGCCCTGGTGACAGAAGATACAGAGAAGGCAGAGCTACTGAATGCCTTCTTTGCTTCAGTCTTCACTG